ATATATATATATATATATATAATTCTCGGCCACATAAATTGACACAGCTCCTTATTCAAAACGTGCCGATAGAAAAAGCAGCGAAGAAGCATTCAAGAGAAAGCCAAATTTGCACAAGGATGAGCATCGCCGATGAGATGAACCAGAGGAAAGCTGAAGCCATGAAGGTTTACAAACGACTTTCAAAGCTAAACGACACTTGATGGTGATGGCAAAGAAGTGTCACTTACTTTACATGTTTAAACAACAATTGTGCGTGGAATCAAATACAATAAACACAGTCGTTAATGCCGAAATCTTTTTCAATTTTAATGAAAAACGGACCTTCTTAAGTGTGTGTGTGTACATGCGTGCGTGCGCGCGTGTGAATGGGTGGTGTGTGTGTACATGCGTGCATGTGTGTGTATGTGTGTGCGTACGTGCGTGTGTGCGCGCGCACGAGCGTGTGTGTACAACATAGATAAGTTTTTTGTTTTTTTAATGAACACTGACTGATATTTCGGTAGACCTCTCAATGAAAGAAAGAAGCGCACATGGACAACAGACAACAGACTTCATCAAGTCTAGCAAGCTCAACAGCGAAAATAGTCTGATATTGTTCATCCAGGAACTGGTTTCTGACGACTACTGAGTTATGAGTTATGAGCTGGATTATCTTCACAGCACTCTGGACACATCCATAGGAGCTCATATTCTCCTTTCCACATATTTATCAGCGTCGCGCGAGTAATAGTGCCAGTCCTATGCTGGTTGAAAAGACTCTATGTGCGTCCGGTGTGCTTCTCATGCTTAGCTGTGCCAGTCTTTACTCCCAATTCTCGTATTCCTAGCAGTGATGTGGACACGTTGCTTCCTAAATCCTCGGAACGTCCCTCTCTCTCTCTCTCTCCAATGGCATTGACAATGTTTGCGTGATCCATGGGCCGGCCATCTTCAGTTAATGTGGTTCCGGGGCTCCATTTTGGGGAAAACAAGAATAGACCCACTGCCTCCCCAAAAGCATGTCGTAAGAGTCGATTAATTGGGGAGCTTCCTTTGAAGTCGGAGTGCATCTGCCGGAGAGGCAAGGAACCAACAGTCTGTATTCAAGAGAATGAGATCTGTAAAACTGATGCACACGCAACACTCAGGTTCTGGAGCAGGACTGCAGTTCAGTAATGGACGAGCAGCCAGAACTTTCCGCCAGAGTGTACAGCTGGTGAACGCAAAGGAGAAAGAAGAAGAAAAAGTTAATGTGGCACCTGCCAGTCTTTCAGCTCTTTCATTACCAACAACCTGTTCATCCCACCACGGTGACTGAGTCTGTTTCTTTCTCTGTCTGTGGGAGGTATTTACTTTGCAGCGTCTAACTTTGCTGATGACATCCTGTCCTGTGTTATCAAACTGGAAAGTAATAATTCTGCTTATCTGACTGCTTGTTCCGCTCTTCTCAACCAAGACAACACAGGATAGGTGGTCTCTGTCATAGTAACCCAGTGTACTCTATCTTCAAACAGGGGCGATGGTGGGCGACATTGGAGCCAAGTCAGTCACACTGTCAGAGTCACCTGGTTGAGTGGCTAGTCTAGTGACTTGTCCGTCATTCAAACATACTAGTTCAGCAGATACCAGGGCCTCCTCCAGATCTTCCCCCTGTTTATTTGTGATGACATTACCCCACTGGCTGCCTCTGGTGTTAAAGTCCCAGCATAAAAATATGTTTCTTTCCCCGGCAGCAAACAAATGTTGTTACTGCCGCATGTGATATTCCCGTTATAAGCGTAAACATTGACGATGGCAAATTGGACCAGCACTCTTACTGCGTGTAAATGCAGGACGTTACTGTTCCATTCAGACATGTCAACCTCTGACACTGTCATGCTGTCGCGAGCCATAATGATCTGTACGAGATGCTGCCGATTGTAGAAGCACTGAAAACCTGCAACTCTGTCTCGTCTCCTAGAATAGGCGTGTTTCCTACAAGGCAACGATGTCAATGCCGCAAAGAAGCTTTTCAGTGGTCGGCATATCCCATCTCTCAAGTCGCATGCGGCTCTTTAGAGACCTCAGTGTGGCTCGGTCAGTCGACCACAAATCGGTGTTGACTTCGAAAAGCATGGTTCTTCACAGGTTCATGAAAAATAAATTTGGCCATTCGTCTTATCCACAGGGTGTCAGTCTCTAACATGGACCCATGTCAACGAAGAATCAAGAGTTACATACAGAGTTCCGTTGTTAGACTGTATATAAGAAAAGGGAAACATTTTTGCCACTGAAGCAGCATTTGCTTATATTTACATTATAAATTTGCCTTTCAAAGAAAAAAAATGTCAGTAGACATGGCAGGATAAATTATTTGAAAATGACACATAATAACCTTTCGTTAGTTAGGCAGATTGACAAAATAAATTCGACCACGTTTTGCAAAGCACAATATGAATTACATTTTGGTCATATAAATAATTACAAGATATATGAATTAAAAATAATAAATATATACTTTGAGAACTCAATTAACACTATATATCCCAATGATAACCCTGATTGTTAATCAGAACATTTTATGAAACATTACTACTCGACCACGTCTAACCATGCACGTAGTGACACTTTGGTTGTAACTGCAGCTTTTTTCTCCTTGCCTCTCTCTTGACCTAATTCATTTGTTTTACTGGAGTTATGTAAGATTTTCCAGCCATAAACCCGCTCCTGTCAAAATGTGTTTGTTGGGGGACCTAAACAGGACTCGCTTGGGTCAGTTCGACAGACGATGTTGGATATACAGTTCTAGCAACAACAGCAACAACAAATCCCAAGGTTTCTGTAACAAGCCACTGATCGATGGAATGTTTGCGGTTATGCATGAGACTATGTTTGAAATGCACACTAAAGTTCACATCACATGGCCTGGCATTGAAAGGTCAATAGTGGGTTGGAACAATTGGAGTGTTTAAAAGATATCAAATGTAAAAGGGATCAATTAACAAAATTTTATAACTATTATTTTTGTTGATAATTATTGTTATGAGGCACGCAATTAGCAGTGAGGCGTGTGAGAGCTTTGATCCACTAAAAATTGGAAGTAAACCTATTCCAGAACTCAGATATGCAGACGACACAGTTCTCATTTCCAATAGTGTACAAGGTTTAGACAAATTAATTCTGGCCCTCAAAAAAGCACAGTGAAAAAGTGAATCTTTTTCTGAATTAAAAAAAAAAATGTCCTTAGTAAATACAGCACACCAACCACATATCACAATCGAAAATGAAGAAATAGAAAATGTCACAGATTTCGAATACTTGGGCTCTTTAGGTCTGTGACTTGGTCGTTGCGAACGCGCTTCATAATGCCGGGGTGCCAGGTTCGATCCCAGCTGCGGGCTTTGCGCCTTGCGTTGGTTTTGACAGTGGTATCGAGAAGCTGATAGGTCCAGAAAGCAATGGCAAACTAGTGAATGTAAACTTGGCTAAAAAAACCCACATTAGCCAAAAAATGCTGGGGTTGGTTCTGCAGCGTTCTGTAAAGCAAATAAAAGGGCTCTTTTGTGAACAGTGGCGACTGCTCGAAAGAAGTTAGAAGGAGAGATTAAATTAAACAGCATGAAGAACCTATGGCAAAGCACATGTGAATTATTAAAGTAAAAATCTTGAAATCACACATTTTCCCAGTTTCAACTTACGGTTGTGAGTCCTGGACTCTCACTCAGCCACGGAAGAAAAAGCTTGGAGCTTTTGAATTAAAATGTTACAGAAAAAGTCTCAGAAAATCATGGATCAAGAGAAAAAACATCGAAATTTTACAGAGTTAAACATCAAAGAGAACTGGCTCATAACCAGCGTTCTATCGAAGTTGGTTAAACCTGACTTTCGCGGCGGCCGGGTGACGAACTCCTTGTGGTCCGGGTTCACTCCCGGGGGTAGGCAGAAAAGCCACATTTCTCCCAGATTAACGGTACCTATAATGGAATCAATGCCGAAGGGTTGCGATATCCATAGTACCGAACCAAAGGGTTTACAACTCATGGTTTCTGGATACGTTAAAAAAAAAAAAAAAAATCCTGAAAGTAGAAGGTGGCTTGGAAAAGACGTTGATGGAGGGTGCAGTTTTTGGAGATGGATCAGGGGTCTACCTCCGCGAAGATGTATACAGGACACTGAAGGTGCACATGAAGCTGGAGAGCTGATAGGGAAAGGGATCAGGGGTCGACCTCCGCGAAGATGTATACAGGACACTGAAGGTGCACATGAAGCTGGAGAGCTGATAGGGAAAGGGATCAGGGGTCTACCTCCGCGAAGATGTATACAGGACACTGAAGGTGCACATGAAGCTGGAGAGCTGATAGGGAAAGGGATCAGGGGTCTACCTCCGCGAAGATGTATACAGGACACTGAAGGTGCACATGAAGCTGGAGATCTGATAGGGAAAGGGATCAGTGGTCGACCTCCGCGAAGATGTATACAGGACACTGAAGGTGCACTGACATTAAAAGCACATGAAGCTGGAGAGCTGATAGAGAAAGGGATCCTTTCAGGCGTGTCGTGAAAATAGTGATGTTCTGCAAAGGACTTGCTGATTGATGGCGATTGTTGATACTAACTAGTAGTAAAACAAATCACAAGTACAGATACTACATTGTAAATAAATAAAGCTTGTGGTTATGTATGGTTACTGTGGAAAAATAGAGGGGGGAGGGGTGCAGAGAGCCACCCGGCCAGGCTTATAATTTTAATATTTCAAAGACGATTGCGAGAACCAAGTGATGACTGTGAATCGGCAACCATAATAAGATTTCAAGAACAGCAGGTTAAAAGAATTTGGTTAGAAAAAAAAGAAGCTTTAAGCGGAAAGCCTGAAGAATACTAAACCAACATAGAACTGGGTCGTACACGCTTCAAGATTTACTGAGGAAATATGAGCACTTATAGCCTGAATGCTTCAATGGGCAATGAGGATTATCTGTCAACTGACGAACATTCAAAATAAATCTGGCGTACACAGAGTAAAATCAAATCTACAGCAACTAACATCCCCATTTCTGTTCAACCATTTCTTTGTTACTGAGTGGTTTTTTCATCCAGTCAATAACTTGGCTGGGAGTTACAAGCCAGACGTCATCGCGCGATTCCAGAAGATCCCGGAACCACCTGGTCATAGCGCTGTACGATTTGGGGTAGTTGACGAACAGTGATCCATGTGTGAACATCGCCATGGGTACCTTCAGCGGGTAGAAGTAGTCTTCAAAGTTCCGCCTGAAATGATAGAATAAAAAAGTTTGTCAGAAGTAGCAGAAGAAGAATGAGCAGGTGGAGAAGAAGCAAGAAGATTGAACAACAGTTATGGTAGAAAACAGTTATTCTACATCATTTGTTCTCAACATGATGTTGCCTGTGATGTGTCCCTTCCATGTGAACATCTTGAGATGGGGGTGTTATTGACGAGAATTTGAAGAAGGTAAAAAAAGGAATATGAAAGAGGGTGAAGCGTAGGAAAAGGAGGAGAAAATCGGGGAGAAAAAAGAAATAGTATGAAGAGAGGAGGTAGAAGGAGAAGGAGGAGGAAGAAGAAGAAGAAGAAGAAGAACAAGAAGAAGAAGAAGAAGAAGAAGAAGAAGAAGAAGAAGAAGAAGAAGAAAGAAAGAAAGAAAGAAAGAAAGAAAGAAAGAAAGAAAGAAAGAAAGAAAGAAAGAAAGAAAGAAAGAAAGAAAGAAAGAAAGAAAGAAAAAAGAAAGAAAAAAAGAAAGAAAAGAAAGAAAAAAAAAAAGAAGAAGAAGAAGAAGAAGAAGAAGAAGAAGAAGAAGAAGAAGAAGAAGAAGAAGAAGAAGAAGAAGAAGAAGAAGAAGAAGAAGGTAAAGTCGGGAGATGTGAACCAGCGTCATTGCACACGGTTATAAACCATAAGTGCCCTGCCACCAGTACGGACAACTGATAAGAAACTGTGTCGCCGACGGCACGAAACTCCGTAGCTACAGTGACCATCCTCCATTCACCCCAGAGTGATAACTCTGGTACCCATTTCCCAGAGGCTGGGTGAACCCCGGGAAACCGCCCGGTTTCGAACACCAGCCGTGAGGTGCAGCGAGTCATATCTGGATTCGAAAGCGAGCTCCCAATCGACTGCGCTAACGAGGCTTCCATGAGAAGCAGAAGAAGAAGAAGAAGAAGAAGAAGAAGAAGAAGAAGAAGAAGAAGAAGAAGAGGAGGAGGAGGAGGAGGATTAGGAAAGGGATTAATATAGTATTGTTTATTATTTTATAGCTCAAACACCCCAACCCCCCCCCCCCCCCTTTTTTTACACACACAGACACACATACAGACACACACACACACACACACACACACACACACACACACACAAAACACAAGGTATGAACGTGAGAACCTCACTTGTAAAACTGATACCACTGTTCATCGGAGGCGGTCCAGGAACTGGTCCCCACGACACAAGCGTCTACCATGCTGCAACCTTGTTTGTCGTCGCCAATCCAGCCGTTGAGGGGGACCTCCCACAGACCCGGGTATGGCTTTGTAGGGCAGGGCGGGTTGATACATCTGTTGGTACATACATATTGCCACATACAGATTGCCACATACAGATTGCTACACACAGATTGCTACACAAAGATTGCTACATACAGATTGCTACATACAGATTGCTACACAAAGATTGCTACATACAGATTGCTACATACAGATTGCTACACACAGATTGCTACACACATATTGCTACATACAGACTGCCACTTACAGATTGCGACATACAGATTGCTACACACAGATTGCTACATACAGATTGCTACACACAGATTGCTACATACAGACTGCCACTTACAGATTGCTACACACAGATTGCTACATACAGATTGCTACACACAGATTGCTACATACATATTGCTACATACAGACTGCCACTTACAGATTGCTACATACAGATTGCTACATACAGACTGCCACTTACAGATTGCTACACACAGATTGCTACATACAGACTGCCACTTACAGATTGCTACACACAGATTGCTACATACAGACTGCCACTTACAGATTGCTACACACATGCTGCCATATAAAAGATTGCGACATACAGATTGCTACACACATATTGCTACATTCAGATTGCAACATACAAACTGGTACAGACAGGCTGCTACAGACAGATTGCTACACACATAATGCTACATTCAGAATGCTACACACAGATTGCTACATACAGATTGCTACATACAGGCTGCTACATACAAATTGCTACAAATAGACACACCATATTGCTCAAGGCACTCGTAACATTTGCTAGCTATTTACTATTTAAAGGCACTGTTCTCGCGTCAAGTGACATAATGTGGGTTGAGTGTCAGGTTCATTATTCTTTTTCACCTGGACGTCGACGACTGGTGGAATAATGTGGATCTAGTGTGAGGTTCACAGTTATAGATAACCTGGACATCGATGACTGATGAAATAATGTGGATCTGGTGTGAGGTTCATAGTTATAGAAAACCTGGACATCGATGACTGATGAAATAATGTGGATCTGGTGTAAGGTTCATAGTTATAGATAACCTGGACATCGATGCCTGATGAAATAATGTGGATCTAGTGTGAGGTTCATAGTTAAAGATAACCTGGAAATTGATGACTGATGAAATAATGTGGATCTAGCGTGAGGTTCATAGTTATAGATAACCTGGACATCCTTGCCTGATGAAATAATGTGGATCTAGTGTAAGTTTCATAGTTATAGATAATCTGGACATCCTTGCCTAATGAAATAATGTGGATTTAGTGTAAGTTTCATAGTTATAGATAACCTGGACATCGATGCCTGATGAAATATTGTAGATCTAGTGTAAGGTTCATAGTTATAGTAACCTGGACATCGATGCCTGATGCAATCACTACCACGTTGATCCCGTTTAACCGCCAGTTAATTTTTTGATTTAGTTCCATGTTCGTCTCCCCAAACAAAATAAGTCACGTTCCCTTGATAACATTTTGACTGGTCTGCTGTACGGAAAAAAAGGGGAGGGGGGTTATGTTAGACCCAGTTTCTAAATGTTTTTGTAGTGTTGAAAGCGCTGGCGTGCTTAAATATGCAACACGCCATATCAACGGAAGGTCGACCAATCAGAAGTGAGCTAGTGTGTATATGGGCAGTCTCTGGGGGAACTTTCGTGGAGCTAACCATTTATTGATAATGATTGACAAACATATGTTGTGTTCGTTAGCTGATATGTCTAAACAACAACGTACTCTCCAACCAGGAAGTCGAGTGTGTATGGCCAGTGTGGCTTCTTGCCCTGCAGGTTGTTGATGTTGAGAATGGAAGTGTCGTAGCGGAAGTTGAAGTCCCTCAGGACATCAAACTGGACATCGCCTGCCACTCGCAGGTAAGGAGATCGGAACCCGGTGACTGAATCCACCAGAGCTTTGTTTCCTGTGGCTTTTAGCATTTCGTCCTTGAGTCCCTGAATCTGTAGCAGAAAACGGTGAAAGTCAAGGAATAATACATGTGTTTTTGGTTTGTGAAGTGAATCTAGTGTTTGACTGATGAATTATCTAACGCAAGCGTGCGCATGTATGTGTGTGCGCGCGTGCGTGCGTGCGTGTATATATATGTGTGTGTGAGGGGGTTGGGAGCTCGGTGTAATGTTCATCTGTGGAATGCTTACATGGGTAACATTTGTGGACTGCTGCAGGGATGAATGATTGTGTGAAATCACCGTGTCCAAGCAACAAACAATGTGCAGACAGCTGCTGACGATCTATCTAGTAAGGATTGTGGATTGCGGACTGCACATCCGTTCTACAAATCTTACTTATTTGTATACGGGTTTTTTGTTCCTTACCTCTCAGGCAGATGCACTCCGACTTTGAAGAAAGCCCAAAATCTGTTGACTCTTACGACATGCTTATTGGAGAGGCAGTGAGCCTATTCTTGTTTTCACTACAACGCGGCCCGAGACACGGGGAACAATTTGTTTAATCTGAATAGGAATACGACTAAGTAGGAATACAGCCGTACCAGAATAGAGCTGAATGAGAATACAGCCGTACCAGAATAGAGCTAAATGAGAATACAGCCGTACCAGAATAGAGCTGAATGAGATTATAGCCGTACCAGAATAGAGCTGAATAAGAATACAGCTGTACGAAAATAGAGCTGAATAAGAATTCAGCTGTACGAGAATAGAGTTGAATGAGAACACAGCTGTACCAGAATAGAGCTAAATGAGAATACAGCTGTACCAGAATAGAGCTGAATAAGAATACAACCGTACCAGAATAGAGCTGAATGAGAATACATCCGTACCAGAATAGAGTTGAATAAGAATACAACTGTACGAGAATAGAGTTGAATGAGAACACAGCTGTACCAGAATAGAGCTAAATGAGAATACAGCTGTACCAGAATAGAGCTGAATAAGAATACAACCGTACCAGAATAGAGCTGAATGAGAATACAGCCGTACCAGAATAGAGTTGAATAAGAATACAACTGTACGAGAATAGAGCTGAATGAGAATACAGCAGTACTAGAATCGAGTTGAATGAGAACGCAGCTGTACCAGAATAGAGCTAAATGAGAATACAGCTGTACCAGAATAGAGCTGAATAAGAATACAGCTGTACGAGAATATAGCTGAATGAGAATACAGCTTTACCAGAATAGAGTTGAATGAGAACACAGCTGTACCAGAATATAGCTAAATGAGAATACAGCTGTACCAAAATACAGTTGAGAATACAGCTGTACCAGAATAGAGCTAAATGAGAATACAGCTGTACCAGAATAGAGCTGAATGAGAATACAGCTGTACCAGAATAGAGCTAAATAAGAATACAGCTGTACCAGAATTTAGCTGAATGAGAATAAAATCGTACCAGAATAGAGCTAAATAAGAATACAGCTGTACCAGAATAGAGCTGAATGAAAATAAAGTCGTACCAGAATAGAGCTAAATAAGAATACATCTGTACTAGAATAGAGTTGAGAATACAGCTGTACCAGAACAGAGCTGAGAAAACAGCTGTGGTTACAGCCTGAGTTAAAATAAAAATCGCCCTCCCTCCCCCCCCCCCCCCCCCCCCCCCCCCCCCCCCCCCCCCCCCCCCCCCCCCCCCAAAAAAAAAAAATTTATTGACAGACAAGAACAAGGAAAAGGTCACTTAGAACAAAAAAAAAACTTTACAGTAATAATAAACTACGTATAGTTAGTCACTCAGTATAGAAATAGTAATAAAATCAGGCAGATGTTCACTTGCTTACACCCCCCCCCCCCTCCCCCCCAAACCAAAGGGGTCGCAACCTACAGGTTGAGAACCGCTGCATAAGACAAATGAGGCGATGACATCAAAGGCTCAACAAGACATACAGACGAGGTTTGAGAAACGAAAAACCGACCTCGGCAACCATTCCAGGGTAGTCACTCTCTTTGTTGCCTTGCGGCAGCTCGTGGTGAATGGTGTGGGATCCAATCTCGTTTCCGGCATCCCAGATGGCCTTGACCGTTGAATAGTCAGTGTTCTGGTGCGTCACGTAGAAAGCTGACCTGCCAGGACAAGTCGTGGTCAAAGATACTTCTAAGTACTTCTCCGACACAAAGAAAACATTGGGACTCAGCCCGTAACACATGTATGAGGTGATGTGGGACTCAGCCCGTAACATATGTATGAGGAGATGTGGGACTCAGCCCGTAACATATGTATGAGGTGATGTGGGACTCAGCCCGTAACATATGTATGTGATGAGGTCAGCCGTAATGGTGATGTGGGACTCAGCCCGTAACATTTGTATGAGGTGATGTGGGACTCAGCCCGTAACATATGTATGAGGTGACTGTGGGGGGACTCAAGCCCGTAACATATGAATGAGGTGATGTGGGACTCAGCCCGTAACATATGTATGAGGTGATGTGGGACTCAGCCCGTAACATATGTATGAGGTGATGTGGGACTCAGCCCGTAACATGAGGTGATGTGGGACTCAGCCCGTAACATATGTATGAGGTGATGTGGGACTCAGCCCGTAACATATGTATGAGGTGATGTGGGACTCAGCCCGTAACATATGTATGAGGTGATGTGGGACTCAGCCCGTAACATATGTATGAGGTGATGTGGGACTCAGCCCGTAACATATGTATGAGGTGATGTGGGACAGCCCGTAAATTATGTATGAGGTGATGTGGGACTCAGCCCGTCGGAGGTGATGTGGGACTCGGCCTGTAACATATGTATGAGGTGATGTGGGACACAGCCCGTAACATATGTATGAGGTGATGTGGCAGCTCACGGATGTAGTCTTCTTTATATGCTTACTGAGATTCATAACATATGTATAATGTGGTAATCAGACCGTAATAATAAAAAACATATAATATGTGGCAGCTCATAGTATAATATAATAATAATAATAATAATAACAATATTAATAATAATAATAATAATAATAATAATAATAATGTGCTAAATGACAAGTTATGTAATAACATACAGTGTTGAAAATAGTATGAAGTGTTAAACAAAACCAAAAGAGAACTTATTCGCAAAGGGGCAGGAGAAATTTGGGGCCCTAACAAATTTAGAAATGGTTCCGTCACCTCCCTCTTCGGGTATGGTGGTGGGGATCAATTCTCCTAGGCCCCCAAGTTCGGGCGCCCCAGCATACTCGCGCAAAGAGTCACTGGAGCGACACAACCAGGCCTTACCATATGTGGTTGGGGGGGGGGGGGCGCCTGGAACAGGCCTAGAGAGAGAGGGGTGGGGGAGAGAAAAAAAGAGAAAGAGAGAGAGAGGGAGAAAGAGAAAGAGAAAGAGAAAGAGGAGACGACGACCATATTTGCTGAAGGCTATTCTGTAAACAGACACTCCAGCATACTACTGCAGACGTGTTCTCTACAGGCAGAAGGAAGATCCGAACTCTGGCCAACTGGCATTCTTGTAGAAGTCAAGCTTTATGGATCAGCCGAGGACTTGAATCACAGCACAACCTTTAAGGATGCATGGTGGTCTTCTCATGAGAAACCCACTGACAGGGAGAACCAAGAGAAGAAGAAAAATAACTCTGCGCTCACTTGATGCGACAACCATTGGGGTTGAAGAGTTTGTAATCGTTGTCTACAACCAGAGCCCGATAGTAGTCATTGTACAAGGTCGAGGTCACGGCGTCATCGAAGGTCAGCATGATGAAAAATGGCATGTCCACCACGGGGATGTCGGTTGGGGCATCTCCGAAGCAGAAACAGGCGGGATGCTGACAGTTGTCGGAGTTGCAGCGTCCAGCAGACGACGGTCGACGTGTGTTTGCCGGCTGTGTGGGATTTCTGGTCTCCGTCGATGGCTCGTTTGAGGGCTCCAGCTCTGTGGAAGGTCAAGAACCTACATAATCCATTATTTCCTAGAATGTGTTTGTGGCTCATGCGATGGAGAAGGTTTACATATATACAGTCCCTGCTGACTAATTGGTGTAGAGAAGGATGCAGATGTGGATCGAGGGATGTGGAGGCTCCCCCCCCCCCCACCCAACATCACCATACCCCAAGAGGGAGGGGAGGCCCAAAGGTTGTTCTTCACTGTACTGACTCTAGTTCCACATGGGACAACAAGGTAGGCGTCTCTTCTCTATGGTCACTAAACAGATTAGTCTTTTGTGTTTAGATTTATGTTGTCTGCTTCATTCCACCACCCCCCGCCATCCTCCCACAAAATCTATTTCCTCTACCACTTGCACTTTAGTTTACATTGCACCCATGATTTCAGTATCCCAGATGCCAGTTCTGGAGACTTTCAGAGGTAAAATAAAGTAAGTCGGTAATCTGGACTTCATATGATTATTATACTCCGTCCCAATATAGGAGGCAGATTTTGTTATTTTACAGACCCACCCCGGCTTTCGCCAGGAGCCCTAAACATAACCTAGAGTTTGAAGGGGGTTTCTACAGACTTACTTCTTGATGCAGCTTTGCATTTATGTCTATTTTTGCCCGTTTCTAGAGCTTTTTGTGTGTGCGTGTAATGTGTGTGTGTGTGTGTGTGTGTGTGTGTGTGTGTGTGTTAAAAAAGGGTGCGTGGGTGATTTGACTGTGCACTTAAAGTTGAATTCCACCTGGGGAAACCAACGCCTCATCGAACCTTTCTAGTAGTCATCTATGACTTGCATGGTAGATTTAAATGTTTGTTCACCTGGCATCTTTCAAGGACACAAAATGAATAATCTTGACTGAGCTGTATAAACAATGAGACCTGTTGAACAAGTTTACTTACGACCAGATCTGTCAATGGGGTCGTCCCCTTCAAACTGGCATGTGGACACTTGTGGCCAGTTACACAGGCTTGTCACCATGTCAAACCTGCAAGTGAACCAGTTCAGTTTTAACTTTTACTCGTCGTCGAAAGGAACAATACAATATTTATCTGTGATTCACTTTACAAATGAAACATTAAAAGTGTAACTGTTATAAACCTCATTAAAGAAAAACAGAATGTTTGACTCTTATTCCGCCAGTAAAGGACAAACAATCAACAGAAAATGTCCATCTGAAAACATGAAACAGCCAAACAGAAATCCCGAACACTGATAACGTTAGATGTGGAGAATCACAGATCAAACTGGCATATGTTGTTTGGTTTCTTGAAACCAATTAAAACGCAACGACCAGCACAGAATGAGGCCGACAAAGAATACATTGTCAGGGTGGGAGGACGAACATAGAGAAGATAGATGTGGCATTTCGGTCTCCTGTTTTGAGCAGTAGAAGAAGAAACAATTAAGATATGATCTACGTGTTGTGAGAGAGTGAGTGAACGAGTAGGTGAGTGGCTGAACGAGTGAGTGAGTGGGTGAACGAGTGAGTGAGTAAGTGGACGAGTCGAGTGAGTGAGTGAATCAGTGAGTGAATGTCTGATTGAGTGACTGAATAAGTGAGTGAGTGAACAAACTAGTGAGTGAGTAATTGAACGAGTTAGTGCATGAGTGAGTGAGTGCGTGAGTGAATGTCTAACTGAGTGGCTGAATGAGTGAATGAGTGAGTGAGTAAATGAGTGAGCGAATGAATGATTGAGTGACTGAATGAGAATGAGTGAGTGAGCCAGCAAGTGAACGAGTGAGTAAAGTGAGCGAGTTACTGAATAAGTGAGTGACTGAGAAGTGAGTGAGTGGTGAGTGAGTCAGTGAGTGAGTGGGTGGGTGAATGAGTGAAAGAGTGAGTGAGTGAATGAGGGACTGAGTGACTAAATGAGTGAGTGAATGTGTGAGTGAGTTAATGAGTGAGCGAGTGAATGAGTGAGTGAACGAGTGAGTAGGTGAGTGAGTGAGCGAATACGTGAGTGAGTGAACGAGTGAGTAAATGAATGAATAAGTGAATAAAGGAATGAGTGAACGAGTGAGTGTGTAACTGAGTGAATGAGTGAGTAAATAAGTGAATGAGTGAACGAGAGAGTGAGTAAGTGAGTGAGTAAGCAAGTGAATACGTGAGTGCGTAAGCGAACGATAGGTGAGTGGGTGAGTGAGTGGGTAAGTGAAAGAGTGAGTGAACGAGTTAGTGGGTAACTAAACGAGTGAGTGAGAAAGTGAGTAAATGATTGAGTGAGTTGGTGAGTGAGTGGGTAAGTGAAAGAGTGAGTGAATGAGTTAGTGGGTAACTAAACGAGTGAGTGAGTGAGTGAGTGAGTGAGTAAATGATTGAGTGAGTGGGTGAGTAAGTGAGTGAGTGAGCGAATCCACTAGTTGCTTTTGAGAGAAGAGCAGATAACGAAAAATATAAGCACTACCTTAAACCAGCTTGACACTCTTGTGTGTGCACGATCCTTGAACTGCAGACAACAAACTTTCGTCCTAGGGCAGACTGGTCTTCGTCTGCTCCCAGCGGAGCACAGGCCCTCTGGCCGTGCAGGAGAGTTCTAGAACCTTCGCTGGTGTAGGCATCCGGACAGTCCCTGCTCTCAGCAGCTGTACAGGGAAACAAGACCACAGATAACAGAACCCAACATTTGTCAAATATGAAAGCCATGGCTGTGTTGGGAAATTAGTTGCCAGTAAACACTCACAACCACTCGGCGGTTCTTGGGTCACTTACTTGAGACAGCAATCGCAACACAAAGATCACATTTCGGCGGTTCTTGGGTCACTTACTTGAGACAGCAATCGCAACACAAAGATCACATTTCGGCGGTTCTTGGGTCACTTACTTGAGACAGCAATCGCAACACAAAGATCACATTCCGTCTCCACATGTTCAAGCACAACAGATGATTTATCTAAGCAGCGGAGACTTCCATAAATGTAAAGCTTTTGAAACAATCAGACATAATTCTGAGAGTGTGTCGTCAGAGATGTCCCATCATCGTTTAATAAAAGTGTGGTCACATATCTCTGGAGTGTGCATTAAGAGATAAGACAAAGTATATTTAGCAATGTTGTAACATCAGTTACTCTCCTTGCAGGGGTTCAAGATTGCCCCCCTCCTCCTCCTCCCCCACAACCCACGTCTTATTGTTAGAAGCAAATATTCTGGGCTACGAGTGGCTTCACTAACAAACAGCGTGATGTCATGTGTCGATCATCGACTTGCAGGTGGAGACCACAGAGAGATTGAGTTTGTAATTTGTTTGTTTGTAACAGTTTTACCGTTCGAAGATTGCTACCTGTAGGATTAATATCCCAAGGATGAGAATCCAAATGGAGCAAGTCACAGAAGTCCTGTCCAACGGTGTAATACAACTATATAGGGACACCGCAGCATGGGGTCACCAGGTCAGATGTAGGCTACATACGTGGTTATATAACCGGTGTTGGCTTCTGTTCTCAGACCGTGACAAAAAGTGCTGACTCAATCACGGCCCATTGTTCCTTTGTTATTCCTGGGCTGACATGGCCAAAGCAGATCATGTACTTGAAGCAAACATTCACATACCGAATATGAGCTTATGAATACTTGAATGATTATGTAACAATACTCCATTCTATAAAACATAAGATCTTCATTGTTCTTATAACTTGTGACAATGCTATTATTAGCCTGCACGACTGTGGTGCATGAGCAGAATGCAGCAATATAACAGCTGCATAAAAAAGAAATGTTAATCTATATTTCTGTAGTAGAATCTAAACTTTATTTAAGTCAAGGAAGGTAAGATCATTCACGCAATGTTATTATTTCACACATTACATCAAACAATGGTTATTCAAGTCAGACCACGGTTGTCACCCTTAGACAAGTGGAGACAACCAACGTTAGGGTGTGGTGACCTACAAGGTTGTGTCGGTTTTCAACCTGTGGCTAACTCGAGCCATTCCTGTTTCCACACGGCCTTGTCAATTTCCAATTATCACAAAACAGCGTCGTTGTTATGTTAATTAAATTAAAGGTTAGTTATCTGCCCTTGACACGGCGTTGAAGAACCAACCGCCCAGCAGTTTTTGTGTGTGTCCATTTTGTAGTTTTTCCAGGCAAATTTATGTTCAATAGTTCGTATCCATTAAGCTAGATAACTTGTCACGTATGATTGTTGTCTCTACTTTCCTGTTTTTATCAGCTCATTATTCTTAACTTTCTTGTGTTCTAATATAACTACGTTGAACGGGGTTTCTAGGATTTGTACCAGTCTGATTCTCGTCCTCGAGATGTTAATCATACAGACTGCAATAATGGAAAAAGATAAGGGTGGGGGGAAGGGGGTGAGATAGAAAAAAAATTGTCACCTGGGTTGGTGATGCCTGGTCATTTTAGCAGCGCACACATCCTTAAACCACAGTACATTTATATGTTGTTGCCCGTGGACCTCCGGCTCCTCCCCTGCCCCCAACTCTATACAACATCAATGGCATCAAGTCAACGGATGACCTGACTGACTGTGTTTGACGCTCTGAAAAGACACCTGCTCCCCCCACCCCCATTCGCCCCCCCCCCTCACCAAGAGCAACCATGATCACCTTCCCGCTCCCTCACTGGTCAGTATACAGAGCAGTTTTGTAAAGCTTTTCTCCGTGTTGGTAACCGATGTACCAGGTGGACATTCCATATTCTCCCCGGCTCCTTCTGTTATCATCATGTATTTAATTTATTGGTCAATTTATTTATTTATTTGACTGAACTCCCCCCCCCCCCCCCCACACACACACACACGCGCGGACACACACTTCTGTAGTCCCTAAGGTATTATTTAATGAGCATAGTCATACAGCGTTTGTAAGTTGACACCTGTCCAGACAACAAGAGAACCTCTGATAGAGCACCTTGTCTAATGTTCATTGACCCGTCTTCAAGTTGACTCAGTGAGAAGTCCCAGTGACACAATATACCGGCTCCAGATGTGTCTCCTCGCCGGTTGTTTTCGGCAGGTAGCTGGGGTTGCTGAGTGCAAATGTTTGGACTGCGCATGGCGTACAGATGTGCTCATTAAGATAAGTATCTGTTAGTCAACGTTTCTATCTGACCTTTGGCTTGACCTCGCGAGACGGAACTGGTTTATTTGACTGCTGCCAATTTCGGGAATTATAAACGGGGATGAGAGGCATCTGGGGCCCGTGCTAGGGTAGCGGCTAGACGCTCGCCTATCGGCCATAGTGTCTTGGGCTCCAATTCACATTGAGAGGGATTTTGTTCCCTTTAAAATCGACCTGGCTGACAGGAGGCACCAGTCTATTTAAATATCAGGTAATACCCTGGGAAGTAAAAGTGCCTGGCGTCATGTTTACTACATCACTAATAGAATTCCCATTGGTTTTATATAAATATGCATATATCAACATACGCCCTATATGCTACTGGCTTGAAAAGGTTCCTTGACCACGGATACTGCAGTGAGAAACAGTTGGATCGAAGCTTGAAAGGATGTCCAATAGAAGCTTTACAACGAATGTGGATATGAGAGGCCAAAGGTGTCGGACTGGATTACATCCATGATATGTAGAAGAATTGAAGGCGATGGTACGGAACAGCGGACTAGACGGTAAGCCTGTCTGACAATGACACGGCACGATGGTGATAAAGCATTGAAGGCGATGGTTCAGAACAGCGGACTAGACGGTAAGCCTGTCTGACTTACAATGACACGGCACGATGGTGATGGTGATGACAAAAAAAAAAAAAAGATAAAACTGACTGACTTTTTTCTGTTGTCTTTGCTGTTGTTGTTTCTGTTAGAGGAGCTTTTTTGGTCGTCTCCGTCCATTTCCGAGTCGTCTGTGTTGTAGCTCGGGTAGTTCTCGAACTTCGGACAGTCGGAGCCTCTCTGCTGTGTTGTTGTTGTTGTGTCTGTGGTTCTGGTTGTTCTTGGGATACGGACAGTCGGAGCCTTGCTTGTTGTTGTTCTTGTGTCTGTGGTTCTGGTGGTACTTCTAGTCCGGCGA